TGGATAAAGCATGATCCAAGCACACAGGGAAAAGCAGGAGTAATAATCTTTCTTCCTATACTGCAAYTGCCCTCCTGTAAATCACTGCCCTTCACTGGCTTCCTCTGTGGAGAGATAAGATTCACTGGATGGGTTTTCCCCATTCGTGTSGGCTGAGATTTCATCTTTGGCAGCAATGGATCATTTTTTTAATTCACAGTAGGCCTTAAAACCCCACATCCAATATGTTGTGCCTCCCCAGTGGTGCAGTTGTTTATCTGTCACTAAGTATCCTGTCCAATCCTCCTGGCATTAATAAACAATGGAGATTTACCACTCCTGGGGTGTCAGTGCTGGAATTCAAACCTCATCAGGAGCAGAAAAAAAGGGATTTCTGATCCTGTTTACATCAGTGCAGATAAGGAGTTGATCAAATGAAGTCAGAACAGCAGCAGTTCAAGAGCAGGACTGAGAATCATTTCCAGGCTTCTGTTAAACCACTGTGGGGTTGTTCCTATAATTGCCATAGCAGACTCATAAACTAAGCCAAACTTCCCAATAACCTGTGCTGGTTTCATGGCAATTTCTAAAGATATTATTTCCCAAGATATTCTCCTCTCATTTTTAGAGAAATATATGTTTTATGTATGYTTTATGGATCTGACAATGCATTCCCATTAAAAAGAGTTACAGCGCCATTATCATGAAAAGGAAACTGCAAATGTACTATTAGTTTTCCCAGGTTTATGACACTGCAGATTTCATTTTTCTGGTTTTGTAACAAATATTTATCAGATTAAAATCAGGAGAGGGTTTTGCCTCCTTGTCCTGCAAAAACAACTTATGTTAAAAATGTTTTCTCTTGAATTGGTTGGTTTGTGTGTGGATAAATACTGCTGGGATGAGATGAAATGTGAGATAATAAACTCTCAAAAGTGTCACTCCCTCTTTTATAACTTCAAAACCTGCATGGCAGGAAGGTCATGCATGGAAGTTTAAGGAAGGATTGATCCTTAGAGAAAAACTGTGTTTTCCCTCAGTGGAATTTATGTCAAGCCCAGGTCGACTAAACCCTGAATAGTATACAAGCATTTCACATTTCATTTTGTTTGTGGACTGTAGAAACTTCATAAATGTTTGATATCAGTAGAGTTCTTTCAGTGTCATTACATAAAAATCAAGAATGAAAAGACCGTTTTAAGTATGACTTCTTAAAAAAAAAGCTGATTGCTGTCTTGTCTTTTTCTTGAGTGAAATCCTAAACCTGTGAAAGGCTGTAAGGTATTTTTGCAAACTTCACTAGGACCAGAATTTTACTTCTAATACTTTAATTGGAACTAGGGAGACATCAAAATATGGTTAAGATCCATTTTCAAAAATGATTGCCTGAAGTTAAGTACCTACAGCTTTATTCTTCCACACAAGTGACCTGATTTTCAGAAATGCTGAGTTTAGTGCAATTCCCATTAAACCACTGAGAACTGAGTATGTGGAGCTCACGAGAAAATCAGTTTACTTAAATGTCCAAATATAGATGCATKTGCCCAGCTTTAGGCACAGATATTTGGAATTTTACTTCATGTTTTAATGCTGCTCTTCTCACCAAAACATTGATTTTTAAGTGASTAAAACTAGCTCTTCTCAGAGTTTGAAAACAGAGCAAGCAAATATCCTACAAATCCCATTTCCTAGTTAAACTGAGGGTTTCACTCTTAAGTCCATTAATTGTCAAGTACCTGACCAGTGTGATCAGGTTGGCCTTGGTCTTTGGCAGCGCAGTCTTTAAATACATAAACTCTGAGATTTAGATAAACTTGGAGGTCATTTAGAACTCTATTTGAAAGTGAGCTGTATTTTACAGAATACATTACACAAATAATCAAATTGCAATGTAACTTCCATTCTAAATACAAAAATATCTGATACTGAAATAATAAAATAAATAAAAAAGATGAACACAGTAATCCTAAGCTTTGAAATCAGATCCTAACGCTGTGTCTAATAAAATCGATTGTGTTAGGCTGGAATGAGTYTGAGTTCATTGGAATATATTTATTGTAGCATATAAAAGGTTCCTCTGAATCAGATTTTTTTTTGGAAATAGCTTCTGATAAAATACAAACGAGAATGCAATAGCTGATTTTCGGATAACTATGTCATTCTCATGGTAGCAAAATACTCTTTCTCTAGTTGGAGAATTTTAACAGTGTGTTTGCAARAGGTAGGAAAGTGATGAGAAAGCGACAGTCTTGAGTCACTTTTCTGGCCACTCCACAWTGTAATTGAGTCTGATACCATATCAGAACTCAGCCTATTGTGCCTTGTTATAATGTAGAACAGATGTAAAAACTGCCAGTGCATGCTGGTGGGTTCTGTAACACACAGGCACAAAGGCTTAAAAAGGCTTTTATAAAAATCCACAATTAGGATTCGGTAAAACCCCTTGAAGTCAATTTCTGTTGAACCACATCAATAGTTTAYCACTCAACTCTCTCATTCCCAGCCTTTCCTGTCAAGGAACTGAAGGCTCAATTTTGTGATTCAGTTTCTTTGCGCGAATAATTCATTAATGAAATAATTATGTGAAAATGGATAAACAGAAAAGCTTTCCTGGAGATCTGGACCTGAGCTTTAAATCATCATCCTGCTTAATGCACCACTGCAGCTCTGTCTCCTTGTCAGGCTGYCTCTGCTTGGGCTGCAGAATTTACCTGGACACTCACATTTGCCAACTCTTGACTACCTGTCAGATGAAACTTGTTAAAAATCACTGATGTCAACCCATAAAAGAACCATGCCTGCAGCATTTGCARTGTTTTATAGGAAAAAAATGGTGATTCACTGTGCTCTGCCCATGGGGCTGCTTGCGCCATAAGCAAATAATGTGCTTGGTGAGTCGTTCATGCTTCGTTAATCTGAAATTTATTGGTRAAATAATATTATTCAGCCCTTTTAAAAAATAACCACAAAGCCCAATATTTTTTGGGGTGCTTAATACATTACTGTTGAAATTATCATCAGTTTCTGTGAAATACCATAGAAACTGTCTAATAAAGGTGATGGATTGTGTAATTAACTCTTGATCAGCACCGTTTTTCAGAGATGTTACCCAGTGAACCTGAGGGCACTTTACAACCTTCACACTGGGTATACCGCTAATTACTCCTTGGGCAATAATTATTAAGTTTTTTAGCCTCAGTGTGTCATTTTGTCTTCTAAATTATTGTGCTGCCGAGCCTCTCAATCCATTTGGCTGTAAAACTGCAGCTCTCCCAGGGCTCCCTGAGTTGTGTCTGTGACTGTATGGATTACACCAACTTCATTAAGTAGATTACAGGGATGTCTGTTTTGCAGGTTTTCCATTGATCGGCACACTGACCTTGAGAGGCAGTTCAACATCAACGCAGAGGATGGGAAAATAACTCTGGCAACACCCCTGGACAGAGAAACCAGCACRTGGCACAACATCACCATCGTAGCCACCGAAACCAGTAAGTGTTTGTGTGCTCTGACTGCTCTGTTGGGTTYATAATTAATGGTGACAGTCTGTGCAGGGGGAGCTGTCTTATAGAATTCAGTAAAATAAAATGTATTGGGTGTTTAAATCAGAGAATTTTTGAAAGAAAGCTAAATTTCTGTGCAAGTTCCATTTCTCTTTGTTTTCACAACTGCGTATTTTTTTTTCAATGATCATTGTAATAGAGATTTTGAAGAGATAGATGAGTGCATATGTACAGGGCATGCAGGGTAAACATTAAAAAATAGTTTAAAAGACCAAACCAAATCTTTATAATTAGCTATATTAAGACAGAAAAAAAATAAAGCTTTGCTATTGTGGAAGTGAATTGAAGGCTCAACCCAGACGTTCTTAATGCTGAGTGCTATTATGTTTCAGTGCCATAAATGATTAAGCACAGGGGTAATGTTGCATGAAAGTGGTGCTGTTGGATACGTATGGATGAGTTTGCTCACACCCAGCTCTCCACAGGAACCTGCATTGCTCAGGTCCACGGAGCCCTGGTGCCTGCTCTGCACACCTGAGTCAGGAGAGCTGCCCTGCCTGGCACTACGGGTCATAGATTTTAATCAAGGAGAATTCTTAATTAATTTGGAGCTGCGAGCGCTGCTGSCAGGATGGCACACGACAGCATAATTTATTATTCACATTAGCAGCGTGTTTTAGAGAATGTGTGTGACACGGGCACATTGCAACAAAGGAGCAGGCAGGGAACGTGSGGCTGGCACCCCGTGTGCTGTCCTGGGCTGGAACACAAACCCTGCACCCCTTTCTGCTGAGGCAGCTCTTCTGCACCCAGTGCACAGGCAGAACCCTGTTTGTGTCCAGCTTTGTGGGAATATCTGTCTGCAGAGCCTGCTGGTCAGTGCTGCTCACYSCTGCAGGCAGAGAACRGGGGATGGGATGTTTGCTTTTCCCCCAAATATCTTGTTTGAAGTAGCATTTAAAGTTCAGTTTCATAGTATTTTATCCCAGAATGTCTGTCTGCAGAGCCTGCTGGTCAGTGCTGCTCACTCCTGSAGGCAGAGAACAGGGGATGAGATGTTTGCTTTTCCTCCAAATAACCTCTTTGAAGGATACAACATTATGGTACAGAGCATTTAAAGCTCAGCTTCACAGTATTTTATTCCCCCATATTTTATCCCCCAATTTATTATGTTTATAGTTACAAAGCCATGAACATAATAACTTGGGGGATAAAATATGCTCATTTTGCCCATTTTTGTCGTCTAATACTTTTCCTGTGGTACTTGTTTTCAAAAACAAGCACGTTAGAAATCCATGGCATACATCAGTGAGAAAGGTAGGTCTGTTTTTAACCAAGCTCCCAGCTTTCACCCCTCGTACCCTGTGTTCCTCTGCCCAGCTCAGTAATTTGGGTGTTTCATTGCCAGCAGTGCCAGCAGTGCCATGTTACTGCTCCATCTGGCAGACAAGCACTGCTTTAATAAATTAGCARAAATGCTTTCTGCTTGCAGAACAGCCAAGCCACAGCAAAACACATGAGGAAAGAAAGAAGGTGTGGTTTCATCAGGCATATTTGCTCTGGTTAATATCTAATCAATTAATAATTTTCATGTTTTTTAAGGAAAAAAACGTGAAATTTCCATGCTAATTTTCTCAGATCATGAGATATACCAACAGCATGGAAAGCAGAATTATTAGTTTATGTTTCAAAATTTTCAGATGTTGACATAGTAAGATATAAAGTCATTTGACGCTGGGTTTCCTCCAAAAAGTCAAAAAGGAACAAGATAAAAGGAATTATTTTGCAAGCCACTCCTCCAATTCATTTTTATATCTCCTTCACATGTGTGTGTCAGAGCAAAGTTGCCAGAAGTGCACTTTGCTAAGCCACACAAGAATGAAGCCTGCCCATTGTATTTTCAGTTTTTAAAGCATAATTATAGTCAAGAATTTTGTAAGAAATCAGCCTTGTCATTAGACTTCCTGGGAGCCTCAGCATCTATTGCTATTGTGAAATTGCCTCTTATCAGACTGGCTATGAAAACAATAATGCCAATCTTGTTCTGAGCATTTGTGTTCCTGATGATGGGGTTTTTTTGCATTCCTGATATAATTGTTTGACATTTACATAAAACAAGGGCTTAATTTCATAGACTACTGTCTTTGCTTATTTAAGTGAAATTATTTTTAAGCTCCTCAAGCAGAAATTAAATTTGCTTATGGAACTGTCAAACAGGGGAAAATGGACATTTTTAGATTTTTTTTTTTCTTTTTCACAAGACAGTAATAGGCAAAATCTCTTTTGTAAAAGAACAGAAATCTGTTGGAGGCAGACACAAGCAGCAAATGCAAATACAAAGTGTGTCATTACCATGCCTTTGCTGACAGTCTTATTAATGGACTGCTGATCTCTCCCAGGAAAATAAATATGTTGTTCGTGCAGGAACATTTCCTCTTCCTGGGCTGGCTGCTTCCCAGGRCCTGTTCAAGGCTCTCCCCTCTCTCTGCAGGACAATGACCAGACCTTTTAATTGCCATTAAATTTGCTTGCTACCCATAAGACTTCATACTGGGTTATTTTCTTAATTCCCAGCATGGTTGATCCTAAATATACTCTGATCCAGYAACACTTTCATAGATGAAAACCAACTTTTACCAAACCTTTATTCACTATTTCAGACCTTCATGCTGCTAAGGTACATGCAGTTACATTTGTGCCCTAAACACAGGTCATTTTTGGTAGTTTCCTGCCAGTTCGGTAATTTATTTGGCAGTTCCCTGCTGTCATCATGAYAAAGTTATTTATTTGTACCATCTCCCAGCCACTTCCAAGGCAGGATTTGTCTGGCTGAATGGGGCATTGCTGCTTCTGCATTTTCACTTCAGCTGGGGATGAAGATCCTCATGCTCAGAGTGGATGATCTGTGTAAAAGTGTGTGGATAATTTTAAGTATTTTTAGTCTGAATGCTCAAAAATGTGAACGTAACCCTTTCATGTCTAACAGAACTAGGAGGAGAAACAAAAAAAACATGAACCAGTGGGGAAAGAGACTATTTTCTATGTGTACCTGACTAGCAAAAGATCAGTTTGGAGGGGGGTTGTGGGTTTTTGTGGGGTTTTTTGTTTGGCTGGGTTTTTATTTAGAAAAAAAATTACATTTTCTGTTCTTATTCATAGGCAAGAAGTGCTGTCTGTCCAGCACATGTTCAGAACAAATTCAGACTATTGGTGACAAATAGCATTGTGTTCAGGGAGCTGTGCAAAGTGAGACATTTTGGATGGTGCTGTTCCCCTGCTTTTTACTTTCCCTTTGCTTAAAGACTCCCTCTGAAGGAGTTTCTGGTTTTCTGAAGCCTTTGTTTTCAGTGAGTTCCACTGTCCTGACAGAGTAAAGAGCAGCTGCCTTGAGTGGCGTGCCTCAGACATCTGTCTGAACTTTTGTACGACTTTTATACTCTGCTTCCCAAGATGCTTGGGCAGTGCTCAAACAGCTTTGGCCTCCTGTTCAAACCCCAGTAACCACGCTGCATTCTGGTTGTTTGGGGACACACCTGTGCAGGTAGCTCAGGTTGTGAGCTGWGGGTGGAGCTCTGAGGGGAGCCCAGAGGGACAGGAGGGTGTGACCTGGGAACCTTCATGTGACAAGGGGTCAGGGGACSGGTGACACTGCTGGGTSAGGGACACCCAGAGCCAGGGCTGCCCTGTGCTTGGGCTGGGAAGGGATAAAAGCTCTGGGATAAAAGGCTTTGTTGTGTCCCTCTGCAGAGCGTCAGCTCAGGTTGGATCTGTGTTACAGAGCTGGGGATAAATGGGTTTATGGAGTGAGAGATCTGGGACCCTGCTGAGAGAAAACTAAGCTGTGACCGGTGAGGAAACGTGCTCTGGTTGTGAGGGGGTGTGGGGAGCCAAGAGGGGACCTGAGGGGGCACAAGAGCCACTGCTCCCAGCAGGGACAGTCTGTGGCACTGGGAGTATGGCTGACAAAGAATCACATGAATGGTCACATGGGGAAGTTCTCTTAGACAGCTACATGCCCACAGAGCAAACACTTCAATCTTTTTGGGGTTACTAAAGATGAAACAATGCAAAGAGGCAGCTTTGGAAAAGAATGAAGTGAATACGATTAACATGGCACAGGTTAGGTTCAGGTGATATTTAGGTGTTGGTTTCAGTATTTCAGATTTAGTTATACATTTTCCTTTAAATTCTTTCTGTAGCTTTGGTCCTCTCAGCTGCTGCCCTTAAGTCTGCCTACACTTAAATATTCCATATCTTTTGCACATTTTTCCTGTTGTATTATTTCTTACAAATCTATTTTATGTGATCAAATTAATTTTTGCTTCTTTGCTGTTCAGCTTTTCTCCTCACTGGTCTCCCCTGTGCTGATGAATTCAGCCTTGTGGATTTTTAAGGGAAGATGATATTAGAAAGAACTTTGACATCTTTGAAAGATCCTTCTTAGATGCAGGCTTAGGGTGTGCAGAAGAAATACGCTCATGGCAAGGGCAAGACACAAAGCCATTGAACCTGTGAATTGGTTCTTAAATTTTCTTTTTGCGCTGCCATTCACCCAGGTTTACCCTGCTGAATAGAAAGGAGCAGRAATATCCAGGTGATGACAGGCTGGAGGAAGCAGGTCCACTGGCAAAATGATTCCTGAGAACGAACCTTTGTGGTCTGTGGGCATAAAGGGTGAACATTGTCACTGACTCTGCGCCTTAAACACTGAACCAATGAAATTTCTCATTCGTTTGTGGTATAGCTGAGACTTGCATGAGCTTAAACTTGTAACCAGGGTTGGGAGGTTTATAAATTTAAGTGCTTGAGAGAACTGGGGTGAATTTAGCCTGGCTTTGTAAGTCAGAGTTGATGGCACTGCTCATGTGTTGGAGCTCTCTGGAGCTGTATCCTGAGCAGGAAAGGAATCTGGGGGCATGTGCAAGTATTTTTTTACAGCCTGGATTGCAGCGCAGTAAGAATGAATGATTAAATTACAGACGTCTCTT